TACTTCTACTTCTACTGCTACTACTTTTACAACTACTACGACCAGTACCACCACCTCTACCACGACCTTGACCACTACTATTTTCAGTATTGAAATATGAACACGACGAACAAACAGAAACAAACAGAAGAAGAAGAAAACCAACAGTACTAATAAGAAAACCGTTTAATAATAGTCACACGCAATAGCAATAATGGTTAATGATAGCAATGATAGTAGTGCAAACAGTAGCCGCCGTGGCAATCACAATACTCGTGACAATAACACTTCCATAATGGTACAAAGGTTAGCGATAACAAAGATAATGGCCATAGCCCTCTAACACTCACAACGATAACAACAATAATGATCATGACGAAAATATTGGTCATCATCCAAATACTATTACTAATGATAATCATGATAAGAATACTAATCACTCTAAAAATGTTATAATAACCATCTTAATAGTAATAGTAGTAAGAATACTGATACTGGTAGTGTTGACAAAAAGCGTGCCAAGGACTGTGGCGCACCTCCTCCAAAAAGGCGGCCATGGACTCCTGCAGGCATTCTTTGATCCAACTCGCTCTCTTGGCATCGCCACATGTCCCAAACCAGGTCTGGTACGGTATGGCATGGTGTAGTGTAGTGTGGTTTAGTATAGCTTAGTTTGGTGTAGCTCCAAAGCCAAAACCGAGCGTCCTATCCGAAATGCGTAAACTGCATTCAGGTCTATGACGACCTTCGCGACTCCTAACTCCTACCCTACCAGCTGCCGTCCCTCCGCAACCCCTAAACCAGATGTACTCTCCTCAACCCGGCTCCTCGAGCTTCCACTCCGTCAGGCGCTCGTCGGCACGCCGCCGCCGCTCGCCGTCCTGCAGAAAACGTGTCAAATTTCGGCTTTCTGGAAACAAATTGGTTTCGACTTGTTTAGGGTGTAGGGAAGTGCTCAGAGGTTTCTGGGGTTGCGGGAGGCGGGTGGGGTTACAGCTCGACTAGATAAGGCTTTTTGCGGGGCTTTTCGTCGCGTAACTTCGGTTAAGTTATCGTCTCGCCAGGGCTTGGACGTTTGCCTTCTTTTACCTTCCCGTGCAGAGTCTGAATCTCACTATGTCACTGCCCGGTCCTCCGTCATCCACTCGAAATCCTGGGCCAATGAATCGGCATCAAGTGCGGAAGGAGACGGACTAGATTTCGACGAAGGAATGCCGAAATGCTTGCCGGATTTATGTTATACTTTGAACCGAGTACCCCTCACATCTCACTGCAGCTGTGATAGAATGCGATAGAACATCTGGCAAGGCACCCGGGCATGCAATGCTACCACCCGAGACCACTCTGAAGCTGGGCCGCTTGAGCTTATGGCTTGCCTTCTTTTTCAGGGCCACAACTTCCCCAAGCCTTCATGACACCGGCATTATTTCGTGAATCCTATAAAGTGGTAGTGTAGGCGAGGCCCGGAAGTTCGGGGCCCCAGGCCCAGCCGTGCCGTGCGCAAAGCGCCCGAAGGCGCTGCTCATCCCAGCTGTCCCGCTCGACCTCCAGTAGTTCTTAGGCTAATAGGGGTTGTTGGGCGGTTGCCAAAAATTGGGGTCCCTTTTTGGGTACCCTAAATTTTAGGTGCCGTATTATTTTTAAGGATCCAAAAAGACCTTCATTTCGAGAACTTTCCTGTTAATGGTTCTAAGCGGCTTTATCCTGCATTAGCTGGGGAACGGCCACCAACATGACCGCTGCATCTCAGCAGTCGGTAATTAGACCACTTCGGCCGATCCCCCCGCTCTTCCTTTCATGCACTCGGGGATTCTCTATCGGACTCGGCGGGTCATAGCTTCACCTGTTATGGAATAAGCCCAAACTGACAACACCAAGGTCCACGAGACCACACCCATCCACTTATCCACAAATGTGATCTTTCCACTTATCCACAAATGTGATCTTTCCACTTATCCACAAACGTGATCTTAAAGCTGAAGAAGCTGGCAAGAACAGTTGGTGTCATCCATGCAATTTTCTTCACGTCAAGAAGGTGGTTGCGAATACAGTCAACATGGCAAGTCCCGACATTTGGCCAATAGCGCTGAGCTACGGGATGAGACTATTCCAGTCCCAGTCATGCAACCGAGCTTTGCAAGCGCGGGCAGCCCTATCCCGCTGTGCAAGCCACCAATCGTCAAACCGTGCCAGGACCGCCAGTGCAATCAACCACGGGGCATCAGCAAGGAGAGCTCGTATAAGAACATCCCAATTGATGGCATGTTCATACACCGACGGCTCAACAAACAATCCAGTCCCAGGAGTTCTTAAACCTCAATCATGAGGAGCTCAGGCTCTGAAGGTAAGGCGTGGGTATGTCAGATATCAGCTTTAGCATTTGAGGCTTAGGGTCTGGGGCCAGGGCTATGCGATGTCTGGCCCCTCACTCCGCTCAGCCAGGAATGGCCAGGATTAATTGAGGCAGCTTAAGCCCAAACAAGCCTTGAGACCCTACAGGAATGGGAGTTTCACCAGAGTCAAGAAGCCAATCTATTGACTAACTTCACCGGAGCTGAGACAGCCGCCTGTGGGTCGGACTGATTGCCTTCCCCGCGCGAGACCACCTCCAGGATTTGTGGAGAGGCTATGGTCCTCCCTTGTCAGTGGCAAATCCGTCCCTGAACAGTGATACGAAAATCTGGTTACTGAGTCACGATTCATGATGAAGCATTTAATTAACTTGAATGCAACCGGCCGCCGGTCTCAGCCACCACATGCTGTAAACCCGCAGCCCCGGTCACCCTTGAGCTCTTCAGTTCAAAAGTTCACCAGCAAGTGTCAAGGATCCGGATGCCTCAACTCGCCGCTGGGCGAAAGCATCTACATCCTGCCGGGCCGTGTGTGCAGCACTTACTGGAGTTATCACACAGTTGAAAGTGGGTATCGGTCCGGCTCCGGGGGTGCATTTACGACGTACCACTCTAGCATCGGCATTGCTAGTGTGAGCTTAAGCTTGGGGTTTCTGGTTTTCTTAACTTTGTATTGCAGGGACAGCATTGCGGACAGCCTTTCCGGCGTGGAATGGCCTTGTGGCCAGATTCTTGAAAAATGCCACCATGCGACTGCAAAATCATGCCTCTGCCTTACGTTGGGTGAATATGACTGATCCATGTCTCGTCATATCACTAAGGAAAAAATCGAATGACATGACTCTACAGGACATGACATACATCAAGACATATGAATGAGTCTCTGGATAAGCATACAGACGCCGAACAGAAGTGAGTATACAGATACTATATACCGTGCAAGGCACACATTCAGAATCATGCAGTGGAAGTCAGGACGTTCTACATGTGTCGGGGCCAACTCCCAAATCCAAATCAACCTTCGGCTTGCACCTCTATCACAGTCGGGACGTCACCACCCGTCACGTCGCGATAGCATCCCCTGGGGATTCTTTGCGTAAGCATTTATAAAGACTACTTGCAGGAGATGCTGTTGTACCTGGACGGGGTTCCGGGTGTCCTCGAGTCTAGAGTCCGAGAGACGATTCGTTCAGGATAAGATGCAGTACATTGCCCGAATGTGTGGATAACATTGGAGAACACTGAGGTAAAGCCTGTGCAGGGGATAAGTGTAAGTACATGTAAATACCAACCGGAATCGTTCCGTTCATTCGCGTTGAGGCTCATGCAGTATTCTTTGGGTCGTCCACATTCGGTACAGGTCATGACCGATGACTGATCGGGAAGTTGGGGAGCCTTGAGGAACTTTGAAGGGTCGTTTGATTCCACCGCCCACCTGTGGGCGCGCTTATAGGAGGACATCGCCTGCGAAGCCCCTCGCGTAGGACTCCCGTCGCATTCGCCTTTCCCACGCAGACCCGAAGCTGGAGCGACCGAAAACTGAGATCGTGGCAAGCACATGTCGTAGTCCTGAAAGACATGGTGCAACTGGTTAAAGAGCAATCACGGCCTGGAAACATCTCAAGGCGATGAAATTAAGAGACGATAAACCGCAGCAATTTCTGCGGCAAAGGGTACTAGCGCTTTCTGAAGTTCAACAGACCGAGTGGCAAAGCATTGAGGGTCCAGACCCCAAACCCGAAAACCATCGAAAACCTTTTTGACCTGAAGCTTAGACGGGTTCACCCTGAATTGTCGGCTTTTGCGAACCCTAACATCCAACCCAAGACCCTTGACGACTGAAGCCTGAAACTCTACAGGCCCTAAAGCCTTACCTAGAGCGGGGCAGCCTGAAGGAGCTGACCATCACTTCCGCAAGTGTACAAGTCGGACACATGGAAGTTCTTGATAAGAAGTCTGTTGACAGAAACACTGGCAGTTGGAGTAACAATGAAACCGTGAAAAGGAAAGTCACCACAAGAGGACCAATGGCTTGGCAACTATACACTGTGTGCAGAATAGAAATTCACAGACCAGTACATTTAAATGCAGAGCTTTGAATCAAACAAATACCCGTGGTATCCCGTGGTGGGCTCGTGGTGGTGTCGTCGTCGTCGAAATTGAACGTGGTAATGTGGATGGCGATTTTTGTCGAAACGCCAGACATCACGGACTTCTACGACGACAACAGCTCCAGCTACTGCTGGTGCAAGGTCGGCTCAGCACCGTGCGCATCCCTCTTGGCAACGCATCCTGAGCAAAGAACACTGGACAACAGCCGCACGATCTGTCTCCACGAAAGCAGGTATCAGGTGGTTTCAGGCGGTACAACCACAAGAGTTCAGCCAGCGAGTGCCGGAATCTACACGAAGCCGCACCTCTTTGGACACTGAGGAAACGGCTCTGTTCCAGTGACGCCGCACACGTCGCAACTGGCATGCAGGCATTGGCTCGGTGCAAAGCAGTTGGAGCCCCACCACAGCCACATCGTTTGCACGATGCTGTCACACATAAACTTCTATTTATGCCTGGGTTGACGAGGCACATGCCGACCCTCTCTCTTTGAAGCTCGCCCAAAGCCATACCGGCGCTGCAGGAATGGGCAAGCATCTGAAAAGACTCTGCATCGTCGGAAGTGGCTTTAGCGATTCTTGGAGATCTTCCAGGTAGGAATGAATTCACATCATGTTGAGGTGGCTAGCAATCGATTGCTCTTGCGCTTCTTGTTGTTTCCCTAAACACCCTGAGCCCGGCATTCCCTTTCAAGCCGGCCTGTTGAAGACACGGGGATCTGGCTTTAGAACATGTCCTGGCAGCGCGGTGAAGTCAGGGTTGCGAGACCATGCGAGCTTCGCAGAAACCAAGCAGCAATGAGGCTCACAGCGAGTTTTTCTCATCTCACATCGTCCGGCCTTGTCCTTTTGGTCCATTTTGGCAGCAGGGCGGACCCTTAAACCCTGAACCCTCAGGAACGGCACCTTTGGAGCAGAAGGGCAGCTTGCTCTTTTTGGCCACCTTCTTAGCGGGTGCAGTCATTGACGCGTCTCTGCCTATGCTTCCACGGATATATTCTATTATTTTGTGTTGACTTTTATATATATATATATAATATTATATTATATTATATTATATTATATTATATTATATTATATTATATTATATTATATTATATTATATTATTATTATATATTTTTTTATATTATATTATATTATATTATATTATATTATATTATATTATATTGTATCATATTATATTATATTATATTATATTATATTATATATATTTACTAAAATCAA